ATATGTGTATACACACACACACACACACACACACACACACACTCATTAACATCCCTCCTACACAACAACCTTGTCACCCGCTCCCCATCTTTGGACTGTCTTGCTGGCCCCTCACTCCAGGTCGCCCCAGGAGGTTCCAGCTCTGCTGCGTGTCCACCATCCCCCTGTGCGGCTCCATAACCACACTCTCTGTGCCCATCAATCCCCAAGCAGACATCCCAGATAGCAGCTAGAGAGGACTCTCGTCACTGTTTCGGGCATTTCCCTCCAAAGCAGTGAGTCTAGGACGTGACTCATTACCCGCCTCCCCGATCTGTTTCTCTTCCAATGCTGCCTTTTGGATAATGGTTTCACCATCAAGTCACCCGAGCTAAAAACTCTCTCTCCAAACGCTATCAAATAAACTTAAGGCCATGTCTCGGATTACTTCCTTCCTCTGCCCATCCGTGCCACGCTTCATTTGGATTTTGCGGTGACCTCCTGGTGGCCTCCCTAACTTCAGGCTCACCTTCCAAGCCATCTGAACGCTGCTGGCAGCTGCCTTTTTGAAATGCGGAGCCTCCCATTCAAGCATCTGAGACACGCGTTCCTTCGTGTGGGATTCAAAGCCCCCAAGCCCCCACAGCCAGGTCCTGCCCACCCTGCCCCTTGTCCTCATGTGCTTCACAGCCTGGAGCGTGTCTTCCTTGAGGTGGTCCTGCCCTGCACTGTGTCCATGAGATCCGTCTGCTCAGAACCCCCATGTCCCCACTCTATTCCAGGCCCCCTGTCAAAGCCCTCTGAGAAGTTGCTCCTGCACCTGTCTTAGGTTTTTAAATAAATCGTGTCTCAATTCTGAAATGAGCCACGTCTTGGGTTGTGTGTGTGTGTGTGTGTGTGTGAGCGCACGCACGTGCCCTTAGCACCAGCAAGCGGGTTTGTTATTTCTCTGTGAACTTTCCATGCCTGGTCCGTGAGGGGAGAGATGGGGCCCGTCTCAGTCATCCCCGAGTCCCAGTGCCAACAATGGCAGGTACCGGGATCATACGAAAAGGTTGCTGAATAGCCTTGAAGCCTAGCTTGCCCAGTGCTTTGTATCCCACAAGCAGATAAACATTTGCGGAAGTGAAAAACGCAAAATGGGCTTGCTCTAAAAATGCAGAGGCTGCATTTGAGAAATTGAAATGGAACGTGGGCTTTTCTCCTGTGACTTCAGGAGCGAACTCTACCTGTGCTCAGTGTGCAGCACACCCAGGCTTCTGTCGCCCTGAAGGGCAGCAGCACAGAGAACACACAGGGACAGAGGAGTAGGCGGGCTGGGCTGTGGCCAGTGGGTGAAGGACCGCCTGGGCCTCCTGCTGGGAAGCAGCCTTGTTCCACAAGCCTTGCAGATCAGATCCACCCGCAGAGAACTGGGAACCCGTGCCTCCTGCACAGGCCCGCAGCCTGCTGGCCCTGTCATGCCTTACGCTGTTCAGTATCCTCCTGTTCTAATAGCCGGTCTTTTGAGAGAAGTTTAGATATTTACAATAAGAAACACATGTCCACAAGACAACCACAGAAAACAAAACAAAACAAAACTCCTCCATAATGCAACATAAATATCGACAAAGTGAACTGTCTTTGCTAGGCCACAGAGGAAATTTCTCACAAATGTTTAATCCCCTTCTAAATTTTATAAATTCCTCTGTGGGAAACCCATGCTAAGTCCCACACGTTTCTCTGTGAACAAAGATGCTCACGTTAAAAGAGTTAAAGGCAGAGGTCCAAGAGAGAGAATTTCCCTTGTAAAACCCTGCATTATGGCATTATGGAAGGGGTTAATCCCTGTAACAAAAACGAGGGCTGTTTCCTGTCCCAGGGAAGGCGCGACCAGTGGACAAGGCCCAGTATGGAGTCCAGCGTGCTGAGGCCCCTTGGGGCCCATACTTCCTGGGGGCCCCCTTCCAGCCTGCTGGAGCTCCCCCGTGGCCACCAGTGACCCGCCCGTGTGTGCGTGTGTGCGTGTGCGTGTGTGTGTGTGTGTGTGTGTGTGTGTGTGTGTGTGTGTGTGTGTATACACAACACAATCCCCGCCTGCAGGCTGCCTTGCCATTTCTCCACGCCCAGCCCTGGGAACCACAACTTCAGGACACATTATCTCATCACCAGGCCTTTGCTGGCTTCATTCTTGAGCATTTTATTAATTTTTCAGACTGCTCTGAGCCACGTGGTATGTTCTGTGGGTGGGGGAAGGGTGGGAAGGAGAGAAAGGGGCTGCCTGAGGAGGAGAGTTAAGCTTGACTTTATTTCTGGCACGGATGCTTTAGCCCCTTACAGAGTAATCAAACACTATTGGAAACATCTGTGGACTTGACAGAACATCAGAAATAAAAATCAAGCCTGTTCGGACAAAGAATCTCATACTGAGTTACATACAGTTCTTTTTCAAAGACCTCAGAGAACTTACTAACAAAACCTAGTACAAGAATCAGTTTTTAAACAGCACTAAGATTATCGTTTAAAAACATCGCTATCTTCTTGGTTTTACCATGAGAATCTCCTGCACAAATCTTTAAGGGACGGGGAAGCTAACTGGATGTTTTCTAGAGCACATACGTCCTGTGCATTTCTGTCTCAATGTTCACATCCGAATATTTTAAACCTACGACAAAACCTGCCTTTAAAACCAGTTTGCTGGGGTGCCTGGGTGGCTCAGTCGGTTAAGCGGCCGACTTCGGCTCAGGTCATGATCTCGCGGTCCGTGAGTTCGAGCCCCGTGTCGGGCTCTGTGCTGACAGCTCAGAGCCTGGAGCCTGTTTCACATTCTGTGTCTCCCTCTCTCTGACCCTCCCCCATTCATGCTCTGTCTCTCTCTGTCTCAAAAATAAACGTTAAAAAAAAAATAAATAAATAAATAAATAAATAAATAAATAAATAAATAAATAAAACCAGTTTGCTAATTAAAAAAACAAATTTTTTAAAATAAAAGACTTAAAATAACTATTTTGAGGGAGCAATGTAAATCATTACTACCTTGTAAGAATTAAATTGCTGATCGGAAAAATTTCAGATAACATACATTGTTAAGTATGACTGAGACCGTACTTGTTTTCAGTGATACTGCTACCAACAGTGATCCAATTTCATTACTGTGCTGAAGAATTACCATTCCATTGATCTCGTTTAAAAATTCACTTTCCCTTCCAGCCATACTCTGTGACAGTTTTCCCAGTATCTTTCTCACTTCTGTGTGTCTGAGGGACTTCTAGGAGGGGTTCCTCACCACATGCGTTTAGTTTAGGATTGCAATTTATGAAAATCTGAGTTTCCATGACTCACATTAACTCTTGTGAAATGCACATCAGAGGACAGTTTCCCCCTCCCCCTGATCTTTCGGCCTTTCTCCTTTAAACAACAAATATGG